TATATATATATAGATGTATATATAGATGCATGTGTATATGTATATGCACACACACACTACATATATTATGAATCTTTGCCGAATTCTGGGTGCCGGGCCGACCCGGGGGCCGCACAGGTGCCCTCCACCTGACGGAGGGAAGTGTGGGCTTCGAGAAGGAGGCAGAGGGGTTCAGCCGGTTTAGGGTTTAGGGTTCAGCTGGTTTTGGGCTTAGGGTTTAGGGTTCAGCAGGTTCAGGGTTTTGGGGTTTTGGGTTTAGGGTTCTTTAGGGTTTGGGGCTTTTTAGGGTTTGGCGGGGCGTGGGGTTTGAGGGGGGTTCGGGGGTCTGGGGATACTCGGGGCTTTGTGATGGATGCTGGAGTTGACCCCAAGAGTCCAGGATGCGCAGGTCTTTGGGAAATCCTCTGGGGGCTCAGGGCTTCGTCTCTGCGGTGTCCGGGGCCTTCCAGCGCTCGCTGGCTCATGCTCTCTAAGCCCTTGCAGAACCCTTAAACAGATTGCTATTCTAAGTGTTGAGGCCCCTACATTACAGAACCCTGCCTCCGGAGTGTCAATCCAGTTGGCAAAAACGTCGAAGAGGGGCACGATCGGGGAGGCGGCACCTAAAGGGGGAAGCTGCGCTCCACGGGGTTGTGGGGTCTCTGGTGTGGTAGAGGTTCAAGCCCTCTGAGACAAGCGTGTTCCAGGCTTCCCAACGTGAGTCCTCAGGAACAGGGACGCCTGCCTTAGGAAGAGTTGAATGGCAGGGACACGTGGCTCCTGTCCACCGTCCTCATGCAGGTCTAGACTCCAGACAGGACTCGGCTTCGAACATTCGACCCAACATAAGCCATCAAATGTGCCCAAACTATACACCCGCCGATCCCCAGAGAGTCAGGGGCGATGGTGGCCGGGGCAGGCACCCGAGTCGTCGAAAGGCACTGCCTCAGTGCTGGACAGCATCGAAACCTTCCCAGTATATCCGTATCATACAAACATTATATATCTATATATATATATATTTATTTATTTATATTTTTTTATTTATATTTATTTATATTTATATTTATATCTAGATATATATATATATACACACACATACATATAGATAGGGAGGGAGGGAGGGAGGGAGGGAGGGAGGGAGTAAGAGATCATACATTCCCATCCCTTACCGCTTCAGGACCTACCTCTTCAGCATTCCAGGAAACTACCGGAAAAAACATTGAAGCTAAGAAAAGCTCAGGAAAGCTAAGAAAAGCAAGAAAAAGCTAACCATTTCCCACAATGATGTTGTGACTGGAACTGTAGTTGACGGTGCTGGGGTTCCCGGTTTAGGATGCAGGCTTGAGGGCTCAGGCCTCTGGGTTTAGGGTTTACGGTTCAAGGCTTCGGGTTTTGGTAAAGGGTTGAGGGCTTCGGGCGGTCATCAAACCCCGTCCCGACATTTCCAACTCCAGCCCCCCTCCCCTACCCTTCCCCGCTTGGCCCGCCATCGTAGGATTTGTTCTGGATTTGAATCGGAAAATCGTGGACTCCACCAAAAGCCTAATGTCAACAACAAAAGGCAGGGAAATCCCATGAAAACCCAAGGAAATCCAACAAAACAAAAACATGTACATAGAAAGCTAGCAGAACTAAAGAAAGCTAGAAAAAAAGCTAAACTTTTAACAACTACAGTAAAGCAAGCTAACGAAAAGCTGAAGAACGCTCAACTTTTGCCAGCTTTCGGGAAAGCCTGCAGGCTCTTTCAGCACAGACACTGGTTATAACAAGACTCTCGACTGGAGCTCGCTGCATTATGAGAAAAGGATTGCTTTAGCTCACTGGGCTTTCATTAAAGGAGCTCTCTAGGATTTGCTAGCTTTTTTAGCTCCTTCGATGGTGCTCCCGCGTGAAAGAGAGAAAGAGATAACGAGAAAAAGAGAGGCAGAGAGAAAGAGAGAAACAGAGAAAGAGAGAAAGCGAGAAAGAGCGAGAGACAGAAAGAGAGAAAGAGAGAAAGAGCGAGAGACAGAAAGAGAGAAAGAGAGAAAGAGAGAAAGGGAGAAAGAGAGAAAGAGAGAAAGGAGAAAGAGAGAAACAGTGAAAGAGAGAAAGGGAGAAAGAGAGAAAGAGAGAAAGAGCTAGAAAGAGAGAAAAAGAGTTTTGCGGGCTCCGGCTTAGTTTTAAGGCTTTCAGACTGTCCGTTGCTCCGAGCCTCGCCTATCCAGGAGCATTCAAAGCCCAAAGCCAAAACCAAAACCAAGAACTCACAAGATGTGCGAATCAAAGCCGTCTAGCTGCAGTCAAGGTGCCGCCACTGGCAGCCGCCGGCCGTCCCAGCCGGCGAGCCTGGGATTAGTGGCCTAAGGGGTTCGGCTCACGGTTTCAAGAATCGCGCCTTAAGGTTTAAAGCTTCAGAGCCCACTCATCTCGGCGACTGCCCCAGGCCTTAGCGCCGGCCTCCGGCGAAGACCCCGCATTCCGCGAGGGTGAGAAGAGAGTCCGGGGGCATGCAGTCGAGCTATTGCGGCTATGAGGGGCGACGGCTCTAGTAGTTCGGCTCTCCCCAACCCCTCTTGGCCCAAATCAGGCAACAAACTGAGAAGTTTCCAGAGGAGAAACTGCCTCCATGACTGGGCAGCCGGGCAGGAGGCACCACCGGTCTTCAGTAGTCGCCAAGCCTGCGGAAGCGTCTGTTGGGGGTTTTGGACCAGGGTTGACGGTCCGTTTAAGGGCAGAATGGTCCGGCGGAAGCCTCCACTGGCCTGCTACAATGCATCCTCACTGTCCTAACTTCTAAAACCCTACACGGCCCTACGCCACTATAGATCCCTCATAGAACCCTTCTAAATCCCTCTACAGGGTCTGAACATCCGATAAATCGGCTTTAAAACCTGGAGGGCCAGGGGCCTGCTGCGAGCCCGCCGCAGCGCAGCACCGCCCCCGTCAGCTTCGAAAGCGGCCTCAAAGGCTTCGTGAAAGGCTCTTTGGAGCTTCAAAAAGAGTTGGTGTAATGAGGCTTTAGGGCCTTTAGGGCCTTTAGGGCCTTTAGGGCCTTTAGGGTTTAGGGCTTTCCACGATTTCGAGCTTGGGCTTGGCGGTTCTCCGGTTTCAAGCCGAGGCGAAGCCGGTTGCAGGTAAACACTTTGCAGTCTTCTGCTCAGTGCCAAGCCCCATATCCAGCATCTGGAATGAAGCAAGCTCCTGCGTCAGAGGTGTTCTGCTTGAAGCTTTCCAGGTAAATGCTGTGCTGGAAGGTCGCTAAGCTTCAGGTTCTTCTTCGGCTTGCAACATAGCTAGTGCGACTGAGCATGTCTACGACCGCGACGAGCGCCATTACTACAAAGGTCATTCAAAGCCACAAAATGATAGCTATGACTCATGACAACCCTGCCGATGAACAGATCTAAGTCTAGGTTGATGTTGCTGGTGCTGCCGTTGCTGCTGTTGCTTCTGCTAGTGCTGTTGTCGCGCTTACTGATGTTGCTGATGGTCTTTCGGTGGGTGGTGCTTATGTACTGATCGTGGCACTGGCGATGGTCACCACCGCCATGCACCAAACGACCATCAGCATCATCACCATCATCATCACCATCACCTACATCTTCACGACTGCGCTGCTATGCCTAGATGTTGGCTCTACCCTTTAAAGGACGGTGGCCGTTAACGCTGCTGCACCGTCCTCATGATTTCGCAACGGGAATTCCAGAATTGTGGGGACAGCTTTGCCTAAGGCCACGTAACGGGGATTTGCACTTGGGCGGATCGGTGTATTGATGGCTGGAATTTCCTGATTTGCTGAGGCTGTGAACGGGACCCTGAACCTAAAACTCCAAACTGAGAGAAATCCCAAAAAAAAGAGTGGGTTGCTTTGGAGCTGTTCGGGACATGGGTTGCGATGAGCGGTTTTCTCCGCGTGCTGCAAGCGTCGCAGGTAGCGCAGCATGTATGTGTCACCTTGCCGCCCCAAGAGCCCTGGACAGGTCCATCATTTGGATCCGAAGAGGTAATTCTGGATGGACTTGTATCCCGCGTGGGCTGCGGTGAAAGGCATCTTGGCCACCGATCCGATCTTCTTCCCAGCCTGTTTGGTGCAAAACTTCTGGATGTGGCCTGGCGAGAAGAAATCGAAAAGCTCCCCAAAGGTGGCACCGTACTCCGAGGAGGCCATCGAGCAGATCTTCTCAGCGAGCTCAGAAGTCTTGTGTGTGAACAGCACATCGCCGTTTTCCTGAGTTACGGCCTGGCCCGGCATCTTGTCGAGCATTCCGGGATTCTTGCTCTTTACGAGCTGTGCGCTAAACTTGAAGGTGGTGCTGCGCAGGTACACGTCCGCCGTAATCGCCGTGGCTCCCTTGACGGTTTTGTACTCCCCGTGCCAGCCATGCAAGGCGCAACCATTGGCCGGCGACGCGTGCAAGCCTTCTGTTTGGAGCAGAACAGGTGCCAAAGGATCGGCGGTCACGTTGTCCAGAGTCATGCCAGGCGTGTCCGTCGTGGTGGTCTCCGTCGTGGTCTGCATCTTCTCCTGATCGATGACTCGCTTTCCCGTGGCTGGAAAGGCCAGCGATGCAACGAGCAGCAAGCGAAGACAAGCATGAAGTAAACTGGAATGGGCACACAACAGCCTTGGTGCTGAGGTTGCAAACTTTGAACAGCAGCTATGCTTCAGCCAAACTGGGATTGCATCCATCATGTTCGGATAGAGCGAGCACGACAACTAATCATTACAGTCCGACGAACAATGCTTAGCAGAGAGAATAGCAAGAACAGAAACGGGGGACGGAGATTCAAAAGTGTTGTAAAATGCCATGCACACATGCACATACACATGCACACAGACACACGCAAACATGCACACACACACACACACATACACACATACACATGTGCATGCATGCATTCATGCATGCATGCATGCATGCATACATTACATTACATTACATTACATTACATTACATTACATTACATTACATTAATACATACATACATACATACATACATACATACATACATACTCATATGTGTTACATCGATGCATAAAGATGCACATACCTTGACGTACATTACATACACATGCACGTACACATCCGCAACTAAACATACATACACATACCTACATATATGTACACGTACATACATGCATGCATACATACAGGCATGCATACATGCATGCATGCATGCATGCATGCTAACTGACTTACATACACATACCTGTGCTCTCTGCTGAAGCGATGGCAGGTCCATTACCCAAAGGGTAGTGTGTTGTTCTACGAGGGTGAGTCCTCGTTCGACCTGTTCCTCATCCTCGATGGAGAAGCATCGACTTTGTCAGCAGATTATAGAATTTTAGAGCCATTTGATGCCGAGGACACTCGGCTCCAAACTATAGGCCTTAACGAGAAGGCTCCCAAGCAAAGGCGCAAGCAAATATCAGCAACAGTGTCTGAAGCATCAATGACGCGCGGCACCGGAGGGTTCTAGGAGCTTTAGATGTCAGAGGCACGACTTCGGGACCAGCGAACTCCAAGGCACGACATAGGGCCGCTTAGAGCAAGGGTTTACTGTAGGGTTTGGGGCTATGGCTTCATGTAAGGGCTTAGGGAACTCCGAAGCATTACCCGGAAGCCAAAGCTCTAAACCCCAAAGCCTATACCCTAACAACCCTGGCCTCGGCTGGCTCAGACCCAGCCGGAAGCAATCGGAGGCTCAGCCGCGACCCGACCTCGCCGATTCTCTCGGGGCTGTTTGGTGATCCTTTCCTTATGAATTACTTCTAAGGTATTTCCTGGGATGTCGGCAATGCTGCTTCTACTACCTCTACTCTTATACGCATTTAAGATGACGATGATGATGATGATGATCATAGTGATGATGACGATGATGATGAGGATGAGGATGAGGATGAGGATGAGGATGAGGATGAGGATGGTGAAGATGATGGTGATGGCGATGATGATGGCGATGATTATGGTGACGACGATGATGATGCTGATGATGATGATGATGGTGGTGATGATGATGATGATGAAGACGACGATGGTGACGATGATGATGATGGTGATGATGACAATGATGGCGTTGATGATGGTGATGATGATGATGATGATGATGTTGATGATGACGATGCTGATGATGATGATTCCTGTTGTTTCTGGAGAAACCCTTACAATTACTCTCAGCAACTATGTGTTTTGCAATTATCATTCTGCATACTGTTCGTCAGATTTCAACCGGTATGATCGTAACACCCTGGACCCTGAACACTTACGGCCTAAGCCCCGAACCCGAAACCCCAAGCCATACACCCCAAAACCCGGACCCTAAACCCGAAACCCCCCAAAACCCTAAACCCCAAACCCCAAACCGAAAATGCTGGGGAACCGGGCCGCCCGGGCCAGGAAGCAGGAGGTCCGCACCTGCAGGAAAATATAGATACGGAGATAGGTATGGGTGTGGGTAGATGGGGGTGGTGATGAAGATTCAGATCTAGATTTAGTTACGGATATGGCTGCATGCGAATATTGATATCGACATCGAAATTGATATTGATACCGATACTGAGTACTTAAAGATGGTTGCAGGCAAAACGCAAGAGAGAGGGAGAGGGTGTATGTCTCCGTGTGTGTGTGTGGTCTTTAGTATATAATACTCATTCACAATAATTTACACACATAATGAAATGGATGCGAAAAAATCCCACGCACCGTACAATCAACTCAAGCAAATCACGATGCCACAGCATCACATGAATACATAAATGCACCACCAGACCCTCAAGCAAATACAAAAGCTTAACACAGTATAATATAAATATATACATATATATATATACATATATATATATATACATATATATATATATACTTGTATATATATATATATACAACATATGGTACATAGTATATAATAAGTATATCATGCAATATTATATATATATACACATATATACAGACATACATACATACATACATACATACATTTTAGGTCTTGCGCCTCCTTGGGAGGGCAGATGGTGGCAGAAGCCACGGTCAACCTCGGAAACAGAGCAGTTCTCAGGGTCTTTGGCCCGTCGGGGCTCCCAAGACTCGGGGAATCCGAGGGCCCTAGGAGCTCATAATATACTATAACTCAGTATAGTATAGCAGAGTATAGCACAGTATGGTATAGTAGGCATAGTATGATATAGCATAGCATCGTATAGCATGGTCTAGCATAGTGCATAGTCCAGTGTCTAGTATAGTCTAGTGTGCTTCGAACATGCAAGCCGTGACACTGCTCGACTCCTCGGCCCTCTGCATGCAGTGCCTGGCGGTCCCAGAAAGCTTCTTGAGAACTGCAACGGAATGGGGATCGTCGGTTATATAACATAGAATATGTCTATGTATGTACGTATATATGTATGTATATGTATATATTATTGAATGTCCATGGCTGCGTCAGATCTTGCCTCATGGTCCATAATATACAGCACTTAACATGTAGTGTGTCAGTATATCATTTATGCACTATACTATAGTAGGTCATATATAGTACATATAGGTAGAGTCACGCATATTATCAGCGAGCAGCTTGAGAGGGCGTGGGGGTCCAAGGGAAACCGGCCGCGAAGGACCTTTGCACAAGTGATCAAGACTGGAAATCAACAAAGATGCCAACACTGAATCGCAATGAAGACTGTCAACACCGAGACAAAAGACCATCAAAAAACAAAAAAACAACTTCCAAACTGCAACGTGGCAAAACTCGAGTTTCGGCACCTTGCAGGCCTGGAATCACCCTTCACTGCGGTCACCGGCAGCAGCAGCAGCAGCAGCAGCAGCAACCCCCGCGCACAAACAGCTGGAAAGACGAAAGCAAGACTGGCGCCAGAACAGGACACAACCAGACGGACCAGGACCCGACAGCGTTCCTGGGACTTAGACCAGCCGGCCTCGAACCTCTGCAGCTGGTTTGCAAAGGCTGAGACCTCGTGCGACTAGTAAGGCATATCCGCCTTTGTGTTTCGATGGCCGATATGTTTCTGATACTAGTAACCAGTAGAGTGCTCATCAGGACGAAGGACTTTACCAGTCTTCTGAGTACAACTGCGGGCGATGATGTTGATGCTGATGATGTTGATGATGATGTTTATGATGATCATCACCGTCATCACCATCATCATGGTAGTGACGGCGGCGAGGGTGACGATGGTGCGGAACTGGTGATGGTGATGGTAAAGGAACTGTCAGCAATGGCACCGCAAGTGGCCCAATACTGTTACAATGATGATGAAGGCGTACCATCCTTCTGCTGCTGTTTGTGCTGCTACTAACTGACTAACCACGACTACGACTGCCACTGCTTCTACAACGACGACGACAACGGGGAGCTTCGACGTCGACGACGACGTCGACGACTGCGGCTACAGCTATTCCCGTTGCCATGATTTCATGGGCCCCGGGCACTCCAGATTGAGGAGCCGTGGTCGGTGGACAAGAATATCCTCGCACCTCGCGCCGGATGCAAACTCATTGCTTCCCAGCGCTGTGTCGGCTTTGGCCTTTCAGACCCTAAACCCTAAACCTCCAAGCCCTCAAAGAGCCACTAGGATTACGTACGGGCTGTGCCTTCATGGTTACGATGCATATAGGGGCCGTACTAGTTAGAATAGGGTTCTTGGTATACTATACTCTAATCATAATGAGGAAACCCCAAAAATTATATAGGTAATTAAGGCCCGCATATCATCTTGGTGTGCCGGGGAACCTCGGCCGCAAACCTCACCTCAGCCTTCTGGGCCCAGAGAGCAACCAAGAACGAGCTCCTTGATTAGGGCTTTAGGGCTTTGTTAAGGGCTTCCGGCGCCCGAACCCTACACCTTGAAAGCTTTACCTCCTTCTGCTTGTGGAACTTTAGCTCAACAGTGAGTGAACCGAGCAGAGCTCAGCCCAGTTCCACTAATCACGGCCAACTCGGAACGCTGGGCCCCTCTGCCAAGATCGAACTGGGCCTTGCTGCACCAAACCCCTCAACCCGAAGCCCCGAAACCCCTAGGCCCTAATCCGAAGACCCTCAAAAACACCCCCCCCCATGTGCTCTAGCCTTCCTCGTCATGGTGGCACGACCTCAGGGATGGGACACTGCACCCCCAAAACCCCCCAAGGCAGAAACCCCTTCAACACAACCCACTTCCATAGCCCTCAAAACCATACGTAGTTAAGTGAGGATTCTATAAACGAATCAATGAAAACCCACACAATCAAGCAACAATTCCAAATCGGTACCTGGGTTGAAGTCCGCCACGCATGCTTTCCCTGTCCGGCTCCTGCCTGGTTCTTGGAACGGGGCGCGTCCGATGCAGCATGCGGGATGGAGTTTGGGTTTAGGGCTTTGGGTTTAGTATCTTGTGAAAGTGCCACAATAGAATCTATAGAAGCCATGCGGAGGAACCTGCAAACCCCGACGCCTTTTGTCGTCTGGATGCCGCGGCTAAGGGCGGGAACCCTCAACCCAAAGCACTCTGTCTTATGTTATGGGCGCCCCCTCGTTTGCAAGTCGCCAAAAGGCCCCCAGAATAAAAAAACTCTTTGAGGCCGGCACAGGGACTCCGCATGCTGCGCAAGGTCCGAGGGCCAGCCCTGACAGTCGGGGAGTTTACATTACATCCGGGGCCTCGAAAGGTGGGATGAAGGTAGGTGGGCTTAAGGATCTCCACACATATTCGCGAATCCCCCACCTACCTTCATACCACCTCCGGAGCACTTTGACATCAGGGGCTTTCGTTCCCGGCTAACCTTGCACCCGCAGTCGATCTTGGGATTTTTTCAGGGCTTCGGCATGGCGGTGGAGGTGAAACCCTGAGTCCAGGCCCTGAGTGTCCCGAATGGTCAGAAAGTCACAAAAGTTTAAGCGTTCCCCGTGTTCCCCAGAAAAGTGAGCAGGCGAGATGATCCCTGCTAACCAATCACCACTCCCTCAACCGTGCATCCCAAAATCCTGGAATCTGAAAGCCCGAAATCATGCGGAAACCCTGGGCTCCCAAACCGGCTCCCAAACCCCCCGCACCGACATGTTGAAGGGCTCGAAGTCCCAGGCAGCCTCGCGAAGCCTCCCGAGACACAGGCGGTGCCTAAAGTCGACAACGGAAACCAAAAATCTACAAAAAAACACGAAACCAAAAAAAACTGTACCTGAACGCAAGCAAGGTGAAAACCTGAACTTGCAAAAGTTCAAAGAAAGACAATGAAACCGGAACCCCAAAAATCTGAAGCATCGACCCAAACACCTGGCTCTTTTAGTGTGGCCTTCTCTCCTCCGACTTCTCCTCCGCTTCCTCCTCCTTCAGCCGGCTTGGGGTTTAGGGTTTGGGTTTAGGGTTCAGGGTTCAGGGTTTAGAGTTCAGGCTTTAGGGTTCAGGGTTTAGTAGTTAAGGCTTTCAGGTTATAGCACACACACACACAGAGGCTTAGGGTCCTTCAGCTTCATCACCAGCATGTCGTACTTCGGCCTAAGGAAGGCCCGGAATTCAAGTGTTTATGGTGTTGAGATTTAGAGTGTAGGGGAACCAAGGGTTTAGGGGCTTGGGGGGCTAGGGCTTTAGGGTCTAGGAGTCCGTCGTGAAACTTCGCACTCCTTCAGGCACTGCTCGCTTTGCTGACTTCGCTTGGAGTCCAATTTCCTTTCAATGGCATCCTGGCCAGCCTGCCTTCCGTCAAACAGGAAAACGAGGGATGCACGTGCAGTTCCTGAGGAAGTTGGGTTGCGCAGGAAGGGGGTACATGACCTTGAACTACTGATCGTGTCCTTGCTTTCCGCGTCGGTGCTTCATGCCATTACTCTTGCGGCCAGAAGTGTTGGTGGTTCCACTTGTCGTGGTCGTGGTCTTGATGATGGTCGTCGTGGGTAGTGGGCAGAAGGAGATGATAGTAGTCAGTAGCTCAGTAGTTAGTAACTAGTAGTCATCAGCAGTAGGAGGAGGACGAGAAGGAGTACTGGGAGTAGGAGTGCATTTGGGTTTGGAGTCGGAGTAGGAGTAGGGGAGTAGGGATAGGAGTGGGAGTGGGAGTGGGAACCGGAGTAGTGGCAGTGGTGGTAGCAGCGGCGGAGGAGAAGCAGGACGACGACGACGTCGACGGCGGCCATTGCTATTGCACTACTCCCCTGTCACTACCACTTCTCATAGAAAATCACGATGCTGCGAGACGACCATTACAAAGCACGTAGTAGTCAGTACCGAATTCACAATGAATTAGCATTAGTCATTAGTTGTACTTGATGCCAAGACTATGACTTCATGCAGCAGCAGAAGACCCACGTGCCGAAAGCTCTAAATCACGGGAACCGGGGCAGCCCGCAAGACGCCGGTGTTCTGAAGCAGGAAGGAGACGCCCAACCCAAACCTGAGCAGACTTTGGAAAGTCGCCACACGCAAAATCGGCGTTCGCTTTGGGGTTGGGCATGCCGACCTTCTTCAGTTCAATCTCATGCGATTTGTTTGATACGACAAGGGAACATTGCGTTTACGCACAATTGAGGCTCTTTGTCCGATTGGTGCTTTCAGGCTTGGGCTCAGGCTCCGAGGCAACTCTTTTCATGTGAGGTAGACCGCTTATCAATGAGTCCCCTCCCCAATACGGCCCTCAAGCAAAAGAGGTCTCCTCATCAGCGGTCTGCATTACTTATGTTTCCACCCCTCGCGGTGTGCGAAAGCTGTCTGCGGTCTGCAAGTCAAAACTGCTCAGCTGGACAGCAGACAGCCATCCAGCTGGACTTGACACTTCTGGTCTTAAACAGGGGCACTTCTCACCAGTCATGGCCTCCAATGAGGGTTAGTGCTGCAAGGTTTATGCAGCTGCCCGCATGACTTGCGAAGTCCCGGCGTGCATGGTCACCTCGCCAATCTCTTGTTGGAAGGCCCTTGAATTTGAAAACTAACAGCACCTGAGTGTCACGAGAGCGCCCTGGAAGACGGCTGGGCTCTCAAACACAGAGTACAGGCACTCCCCGCTAACTCGTACCTCGTACATCTCGCACTCATACATGCACCGGCTTTTGTGGGTAAGAGTCCTCCAGCGCCGGGTCCTGGCCACTGAAGGCATAGGCCTTCGGCGGAGAGTGCGAGTGCATGTCGTAGCCGATCTTCTCAGTATGATCGTCAATGCGAAGGAGCCCCGAAAATCTCAGGTACAGGAAGGACAGCGTGGACAGCGTCTAAGCCCAAACGATGATGGCCACGATCATCACAAGCTGTGCTGCGACGGCGGAGCCTCCAATGCCCTTGCTGCACGCACCATCGTCACCCGTCATGCAGCCGAAACCGCTCCAGCCGTGGTAGTGGTCAAAGCCCTTGCCCCAATCGAAGAGAGCAGCGGCAAGAAGCCCCCAAACGCCACAGGCTCCGTGCACTGCGCTGGCATCCACGGGGTCATCGATCTTCAATCTCACAAGGAGACTTGATGCCGCCTGGTAGAAGAAAGCACCAATGAAGCCGGTGAGAACAGCGCTGCCGCACTCCATGTTTCCGCACCCCGCAGTGATGGACACCAAGCCCGAAAGAATGCCGTTACAGAGCGCGCCGACGTCATACTTGAGTGTGAGCACGAACTTCAGCAGGAACACAGAGATCCCACAGGTGGCTGCAGAGAGAGTGGTGTTCATGGCCACTTGTGCCGCAAGGGCACCCATCTCCTTGTCGTGCATCGAGAGAGTGGAGCCTGGGTTGAAGCCATACCAGCCGAACCAAAGCGCGAAGGTGCCGAGCACGATCCTTGGCTGTTTTGTTTTGCGACATCTTATGCTGAAGAATCTACACCCGTTCGTGCACGTATAATATACATGTACATCGGAATACACCTATACATATGCATACATACATAAAACACATACATACAGACTCGGTGCGCCTAGGGGCCCCATTTTGTCGTATTTCTAAAGCATTGACTTCCAGCAGGTTTAGTTCACAGAAAATAACACAAGCTGGGTAAAGGATATCGTAGAGTAGGGGGGCAGGAAGGAGGAAACGAGGCCAAAAAACTAACAGAATTGATCTTGTTGTCTTTTTTTGTGGGCTCCCCGCACCCCTCCAGGCCAGGGAGCCAGACTCCTTTGAGCTTGGTTCAAACCCAACTCAACTTTAGCGAAGGAATATTTAGCTATGCAGTTGGCCGTTCATATAACTAATTCTCAACGAGCTTTAGATCTACTACCATATAGATATACACTATACATACAGACAAAGATAAAGACACGAGCGACATAGACACAGGCATAGACATCCACATCTACATCTGCAATGTGCATGCACATACACATGCAGCCCGCACATCAATGTATACATCTGTTTACAAGCGCAAACAGGTCGCAGTGGGATGTTGTGGTACTCGAACTCCTCGGGATTCTCGAAGCGTCCCTTCCGCGGGCCGAGGATGACCGTGCCAGCGAGGCCGCAAACGCCTCCTGTGAAATGGACAACACCTGCAGCAGCCGAAAAAAGCACACACAGAAGCCGTTTGATGAA